GGGGGAACAAATGATCCTTTCTAAAGATAACTAAACACCTAAATACCTAAATACCCAAAAATCTGATCCTTTCCAAAGTCTGAAAGCAAACAACCTAATTCCACCTCTCTCTCTCTCTCTCTCTCTCTCTCTCTCTCTCTCTCTCTCTCTCTCTCTCTCTCTCTTCCCTCTCTCAATTCCCTTTGATTTCTAATGATGCAGTAGAAATACCTTCGGTTCCTAATTCCTGGTCAATTAATTTTTGTGTTTGTTTCTTAGTTTTATATCTGCAGTAGAAATATCAGACCAAATTTTCTTTCAGTTTTAGGTCATTTTTCGAAAGGTGAATAAATTGGATATCCTTGGTTGGATTTGGTTCTCTATCGATAAACCAATTGTAGCTCTGAGACAACTCAATCAACAATTCTACGAGCTCTTCTGGTTCAAAGGCAAGGTAATTAAGCTCAATTTCTTTGTGATATTTTCACTTTACTCATTTCAACTTGTGCTATTTGCTATCGATATTGCTAATTAAATTGCTCTTTGACATTCCGTTATTTGTCTCCTTCTAAATTTCTGGGGCTATCTGGTATCATACTTAATTTGCTTGCTTTTTTATCCTCTTCTCTTACCTGCTTTGGATATGCCGCATCGTATGCATATGCCGTTTCTTTAGTGGCTTTAGTGGCTGTCTCTAGTCTTGTCTTGTCACTTGTGTCAACGAGTCTGCATTTCTTCAGAGGCCAAATTGAACAGCGAACACTTTGTTTTGTCTATCAGTGGAAGAGGTAAATAGAGTATTAGAGTGATATTTTCTCATTCACTCAAAAAAAAAAAAAAGGCAGATGTTTTTGTCCTCTGTAAAGACTAGTAAGCTAAGAGGAAGATTGGGAATTAAATCCATTGAGTTAAGAGTTCAAACTCGAGCTCTTTTCTTCGGGTCATAAGATAAACATTAATAGAGGAATTAGAAATTTGGCCTAGTATGTGTACGTCCCTTTTCCTATTAAAAACGTGTGTTTGATGGGAGATTATATAGAACAATTTTTTAAAAATAATATCATAACACTTTTTATAGTGCGATATATGTAAAATAGAAAGATGATTTAAAAAATGCGTTATAATGCAATCAATTTTTTTTTTTTTTTGCAAATTAAAACATACCAAAATATAAGAAGCTTTTCTTGAGGTTTTAGCTCAGTCAAAATTGTGTTTTTTTGGGGGGAGACTTTGAAAAAATATTATTATAATATGTAGTATATAATTGATGTATGCGTAATGAAAAGATGAGTAGAAAATGTGTTCGGAGATTTTTTAAAATCTAAAATGAAGTATTTGACTAAGTGCAAAATCCAATAGTTGAACCCCTTTCGGTTCTTCAATCATTTTTGCGAGTCTTTTATTTCAATTATTTCATGAATCATTTTTTCTAGTTGATTTCTCTTCTTTTTCTATTTCTATATATTTTAAGGGCACAGTAAGAGGAATTTAGTGATTAGTAATGGTCAACTTGAGTTATTTATGCTTTTTTTTGGGTTAAGATGGAGAACGACTATATGATTTTTAAATGTGGATTTTAATGCGTTTTTTCAATTATTTGATACTTAATGTGATTTAAGGTGGAATTCTAGAGTTTCAGTTTGAAAATTTGGACTTCTGTGTAAATTGTTATGTTGTCATGCATTTGTTACTTCTCCTTTTTTTGGCCACTTTTATCCGGATTATGTCTTTTTTAATACAGTAGACAAGTTCTTGTACATAGTTGAACAGCAATCTAACTATCTGAATTGCCCATAACCATCATTTTTATCTGCCTAGCAATTGTAGCTTGCTAGCAATTAAATGTTCTACCAAGTTGCAATTAGGAATTTGTAAGACAATCTAGCTCCCCTGATTTATCTATGTTTCTTTTTCTTGCAAACAGAACACTGGTTTGCATATTGACATAAATTCACCACATTCTTTTGGCATTGAGAAGTTGGGTTAACTGTTAACATCGCATTCCACTATGAGCATAGCAAACTGGGATGCACATGCTGCACTTTATTTTTTATTTTTTTTTTGCATGTTAATAAATTTGCTATTTTTCAATTCTGTTTATAAGGTCTCTTTTCTTGCCTTCTCAGTCTTGTTTCTTATAGAATGGATGATAGGTCTTGGATCTTTATTGAAGACCGAGTCAATAATCCATACTTTGAAAAGTGTCTGAGTGACTTCCTTAAATTTGCCTACAAAAAGAAGGAGGTTGGGAGTAGAATATATTGCCCATGTAGGCGATGTAAAAACTCAGAACGAAGAAAGGAAGAAACTGTGCATGCACATGTAACAATGAAGGGGTTTTTGACCACTTATACAAATTGGATTTATCATGGTGAAGATCCATGGGACTTCAATCAAGAAAATATGAACAATGGAGTGTTTAGGCACATTGAAAATGATGACATGAATGAATTGATACACGAAACACTTGGAAGAACACTTGAAGAGAATTCTAACATAAATTTAGAAGAACTTAGAGGAGCCTGTGATGAAGAGACTAATAAGTTTTTTAAGTTGCTGAAGCATGCCCAAACAGAGTTATACCCTGGATATAAAAATTTTACTCTTCTATCATTTGTCATCAAGTTGTTGCATGTCAAGTCTCTTTGTCGATGGAGCAACAACTCAATGACAATATTACTGGAGCTTCTCAAGGAAGTTTTTCCTGATAATGAATTATTTCCAAGCTCTTATCGTGATGCTTGGAAGATTGTTAAAGACTTGGGTCTTAGCTACCATAAAATTCATGCATGCCCCAATGATTGCTTGATTTATTGGAAGGAGACAGAACATGAAACCTTATGTTCAATTTATGATTCCTTATGTTCATATTAGCAAGTTGGTAATGTTGGTTTCATTGGGTTATAGTTCCTTAATATGTATATGTTCTTTGTGTTTGCAGATTTTAGAAACTTAAACTCCAAAAGTAAGATGATACAACACTCTCTTGCTGAATTATGTGATTGGTTTCTGAAAAAAGCCAGTAAAATTAATCATCTTACTTAACTTTGCCTTCAAAAATCAGAAGCTGCTTTTATAGGTTTTCCATGGCACCAAGTATGAAGGGGCCCCGCAAAGTTGTTGGGCCAATGTCTGGAGCGCATATTGAGTCCACTAATAGTTTGAACCCTGTTTCACAGTCAAGCTCTCAATCTTATCAGACTTGCCCCAATCATTATTCAAAGCCTCCAGCGCATAAATTCATTGGAGCAATGCCTGGAATACGCATAGACCCTACATCTAGCTCAAACTCTGTTTCTCGACCTAATTGTCAAGCGAAATCACATGACTCCAATTCAAATTCAAACTCAGCTTCTAGCTTTATTTCTGCTTCTCAGTTCAACTCTAAAGCCAATTCACATCAGTTGAACTCCAAGGCTGATTCTCAACTAAATTCCCATCCTAATTCACATATCGGTCAAGGCTTTCATTCTCAACCACTAGTAGCCCATCGTGAGCAACCAGATTCCTTTGATAACAATGATTCTGAAGCTGGATCAGGTTCTTCATATGATTCAGAAGACATAGATGATGTCTTTGATGGTACTTTTGATGATGATGATTCTAGTGAAGAAGGTCGATTGGAAAAGAAAAGATTACCACAAATAGTTTTGAGTCTAGCATTCCTTATTACAAGCTTTGTATAATATTCATAAAAAAAATTATATGAATCACAATTTCTTCTTTTGTATGTGTATGTGTTTTTTGTACACAGGAGACAATAGTGGTAGAGGACTAGCCAGACGAAGTGCTGGTTGGGGTGGTGGAAAGAAATTGGAGTTAGTTTGGAATGCACGGGGCCAAGTAATTGGTCCTAATGCTACACAGTATATAAGTCAAGTAGGAATCTTAGTAAAGGATGGTAATAAATTACCACTCACGTACACAGATTGGAGGGCCATGCCTGAAGGATCTAAGGAGAGATTTTGGGAAGATATTAAGGTATTTTGACTCACTATCAAAGTTAGCAACATTTTTTTTCTTTTTATTTCATACAATCTTGTAGCTTGTGAATGTTTAAACTTTTGTTTTGTAATTTTTGATAGAGAAATACAAATATTGATGATACATGCAAGAAAGTACAAATGATAAGGGTCAGCAAATTGTGGAGAAATTGGAAATCAAAAGTCAAGAGCATGTATTTCACTCCTTATAGGAGGCACAGGTCATGGCTATTAGCACACTGTCCTGCAAGAGTTGAGGAGGATCAATGGTCTATTTTGATTGATTATTGGAGCTCAGAAGATGTCAAGACATGTATTTATTGTCACATCTCTTTTGCTTTTGAATTAAATTCTAGTGCTACTATGATTTTGATGTGTTGTTAACTACCTTTTTATGTTTTGTACATAATTAGAAGCAAAGCAAGATTAATAGCAAGAATCGAAAAAAACAAAAGATGTCACATCGAACAGGGCAAAAAGATCATGTGAACCTTAGGGAAGAGGTATATTAAATTCTAATGCTTATGTTTCTAGCAATTTTTTCTGGAAAATAGTCTTATTTAGAAATATTAACTCTTTAGTTTGTACATTGAATATGTGGCAGCTCGGATTAAAACTGGAAAAGAGCCTTTGAAACTAGACGTTTTTATTCATTCAAGACAAGGAAAACAAATGGATGAGTTGACTTCACAAACAATTGTAAGAATAGCTTTTAGTCACTTTTTATTGGTTTTACTTCATAAATAATTCTTTCTTCTGTCTGTTTTTCAATTTAGGCAACTATGAATGAGGAAATACAAAAACTGCCAGAGACATCCAGTGATGATAATTTTGTGAAAAATATACTCTATGAAAATATTCTTGGACCTGAAAAACCAGGTCATCTTCGAACTTATGGGGTAGGTGCGACACCAAAAGACGTGTATAGGATGTCAGATAACATGAATGTTGGACAAAAGAAAGCATTAAGGATGCAGTGAATGAGAAAGTGGAAATCATACGTGGTGAACTACGAGAAATTGGCAGATTTTAAGGGGGAGTTGATTGCTCAATTTGAAGCAAGAATGGTTTGGGATAACTATTTGGTTAAATACTATAATTTTTCTAATTTTTTTTATTGCTTTAGTTACTATTGATCTTTGTTCTTCCAGAGGGCATCCACATGTGACTTGGCATCACTCCAAAGAAGAGAAATGAATGCAGCAAAACAATCTCAAATTTCGGACTCATTAGAGGTTGTATATTAATTCATACAATTTGATTTTGTGTACAAACTCTCTAAAATATCAGCAGCTATGGCCTGATTTTCTTTTCTTCACACTTTGTTGATAATGTAACAGGTTGGTGATAGAATGAACAGGGAAGTTGGAACAAATGATGCTGAAATAAACAAGTGTGAAATGAATAAAAAAGTTTCTTCAATTGCTGATATCTTGAGGTATAGTATGCGTACTTTGAGTTGGTCCTTCTATAGAAGACCAATTTTGCTGAGTTCCTTGTTGATATTGAATTGTGCATGACTTCCTTGTTGATGACTATTTGTGCATGAGCTCTTTGTTGATATTTAATTGACTAGTCTTTTGTTATACCATAACCATCATACAAAGAAGAAAAGGAGCAGGACTACTTGCAAACGACTTGCTTGAGGTACTGGAAAAGTTTCTGAAAATAACTCTATTCTGTCAAGTTTTCCATTGAGTATTTGTATGATTGGGAAGACGAGCTGTTTTTGTTAAGATTTTGCCAGCTATTTATGGGACATAATGTAATAGAAGTGGTCTTAATTTTCAGTGTCTGTGAAAAGGTTGAATTACAAATTCCGTTTCAGTATCTATTGTTATATTAACGTTTTCTTCATGCTTAATGGGCTGGGGTTATTTGAGCAGGGGACTAATAGAATACACTTTGCAGCCCTGGACTTGATGGTACATTGGAAGCACGCGGATTGGGAGATATGAAGATGTTTTTGAGAGATGTATGATGAAGTGTTGTACTTTTGAAGACAAGCACATTTTGGAATATATGAAATATCTTGTAATTGGAGCGAACAATATTAAATGATAAAGTTTGTAGAATTTGACTAAAACAATGTATGATACTTTATTCTAGTGTATTGTGGAACTATATTTTGTTATAATATTCGATTTTAGGATATTTGAGCATGATAATTATTGTACCATGAAAAAATTGATTTCTGGTCTTTATATTGGTGACTTTTTTGCGACGCAAGTTTTTGTCGCATGACATTGTGGACATTTTGTAGCGCATTTTTTGTGCCGCAAGTAGAGTGGTAACACTCAAATTGGCGTTGCAAAGAGTGATGCAAATGCATGCGACATGTTGAAAAATTGTGTCGTTTTCTTTTGTAACGGCTACTTTTGTGACACAATTTAATTCCGCCGCATTTGTGCCGCAAAAAGGTTTTCGCGGCGGTTTTTGGACTTTTTGCAGCATATTTCTGGCGTCGTGAAAAGCTAGTTTTCTTGTAGTGCGGTTCATTTTATTGTCATGAAAATTCAAGCCTACGCAACATATTGATCATACTCCTTGTTGCAGATTGGAGTAAAATCCATTTAAGACAAACGTATTTGACTTCTAAACTAAAATCCAAAAGGAAGTTTTTCTTCTGTTTTCCATTCTCTTTCTTTTCATTTGAGAAAAAATACATTAAAGTGGTGTAGTTTTGACCCAACAAATTTTATTAGAATGCGTTTTTTGTTTTTGGGATAAGCTGCTAGAATGCTACTCAGTGACCAACTCTATATAATGAAATCCCCACAATAAGTATTATAATTGAGCTGGGTTGGAGGTGAAATTCAAGACGTAATTGCAGCTCCAATATGTGATGAAATTTAGGGGAGATTAGCCCTTAAAATGTGCAAGGGAGAAGAAATTTTGTGGGTTTGGATTACATTTTTTGCAGCAAAATTTTGTGGACTTTCGTAAGATTATTTTTTAGGATTAATCTTTTCTATACTGACAGTGCACTGTCAGCGTTGGATGAATGACAACTATACAAAATTTGAATTTGAACACATGTCATGAATCCAATAATAATAGTGTATACACTGTCAATATATATAAAATTTACTCTTTTTTTATTATATTTTTCGATCACTTTACTTTCATCTCACACATCACATTTCTAAAAAAATACTTTAACATATATATGTGTGTATATATATATATATATATATATATATATATATATATTTATTTATAAAAACTCTTAAAGAATTACAACCCAATCGTATTCTAGGCTAATAGTCAATTCGAGAGAAATGTTTGACAAACTCTCTAGACTAGTCTATTAGTACTACTTAACATATCTAAGCCTGTTGCTAATTGATGACTACCGGTTTATTTCGGAATTAGATTCTAGAAAGAAAGATATGCCCACAATAGAAAGGACGGAAACGATAGGTCTACCAAAGAATCCTTGGCGCATTTTGTGCCAGAATGGCTACTTTTCTTACCACTCAATTTCTCAACGTCTTACTGTCCGCCACAGCTTTTCTCATTAATTGTTCCCGCTCTTACAGTCTTAACTCATTTCTTATCATTTCACACGCTATTGCTCTATCGCACCAGGGTTCCCCGCCTTGTCTACCACGCGTATGAGGCGAAACAAAAGAAATCGTGTCGGAGGATTAACTGTCAAGATTGGATAGATTTCAACATATATATAAAAAAAATATTTTGCAGGTTAATTTCATTTTACATCTCTGAACTGTAATCGGACTCTTAATTTAGTTCTTAAATTTCAAAATACGATGCCTTTTTTTTGACAAATTTAAAATAAAATACTTTAGTCCATAAAATATAAAATTGTATCTTTAAAGTATAAAGTCCCTACATTTCAAAATGTGATTCTTTAGTTCCTAAAGTATAAAGTCTGTCATATTTTAGTTTCTAAAATATAAAATCTATCCTATTTTAATCTCTAAAGTATAAAGTTTCGTTTTACTTTAGTCACTAAAGTATAATATTCATCCCATCTAAATATAAAATATATCTCATTTCTATCAATGATTTTAATTAAGTGGGACAATTTTTATATTTTTGGAACTAAAATGTCTCGTTTTGAGGTTTACGAACTAGAGTGAGAATTTCGATATAGTCGAAGAATGCAATGTGACATTAGCCTTTTTTTTTTGGTCAAATCACCACATCAAATTTCCTTGTGCAATTGCCTCTCTTTGTGGTTCCATTGTTGCTGCCAATGTTGTTAGACATGGACTGAGCCAATTGATTCGACTGGTTTGATCATGAACCGACTTTTTTTTTCAAATTGGTTTGCAGCACAAAATTATTTTAGTCAAAAATCAATCAAAACCATCAAAAATCGACTAAACTAGTGGCTTGGTTCGATTGCTTGACCTGATTCTCAAACTTTTCTTCTTCTTTTTCCCAAATATAATTTGATTTATCTAAATTGCAACACTTTCATTTATTAATAGGAATAAAAAAATGCTACCCTTGTAGTATTACTACAAGAAAATTGGTTTTTAGTGACAAGCCATTTTTGTCACAAAAAAAAAAGTCATCACTGATAACTTTTATTGACAACTTTCTAGTTGTCACAGAGTCGTCGCTGAAGGCCCGTCGGTAAAAGTAAATAGTGACGACCTTAAAAATCGTCAGTGAATGGGACTGTTTTGTGACAACTGATGTCATCAGTAATTGTTGTAATTTTAGTGATGACATAGTATCTTATCAATGATGTACAAAGCAATGTCGTCAGTAAAACTAATCCATCGTTGTCATTGGTATAAACTAATTACTGACAACTTTTGTTGTCACTAAACACTTTTTAATTCTATGACAACAGGTTGTTATCAATGGAGAATTCTGATTTAGTGACAACGCTTTATCACCATGAAATTTGAAGATTTTCTTGCTACAATTATATCTATAAATCAAAAAATGACAATTCTTGACAATTAACAAATGAACGCATCCATTGCATTACGAAATGCCAAAAAATCATATCAAGCATTCCAATATCATAACGAAGTTCAATAACACCCTTCAAATAGTTTGATAAGTGGTATTTGGCCTAAATTTCACATATAAGTCAAGGTAGCTTTACAAAACGAATCCCAATCCCAAAAAAAAATGTGTTGTCCAGACATTTCCTTAGTATAAGATTTTTTTTATAGTCTTTCAGTCAATTAGCAACTCCTGCTGTTGATCTTCCAAAAAGCTAAAATGAGCAACATATCTGCAGTGAAGCATTGCAATTATTAGTAGGTCATAAGAAAAACTTGAGACAATAAAGATAACTAAAGAATTTGCAAGAAAATAAACTAAATCATACCTTTTAAGCATAATCTAGACAATGACTAAATAAGAGCAAAGTAAGAGATAAAGACTTAGAACATTAGAGCTCAAGAAACACTTCTTTTACTTTTACTACGTGAACTTAGGAAACTATTGATATGCTTATGCTACCATATTAAGAACCAAATAGTGATCCTTCTATGGCTTCATAGGCCCCATTTGTATGGTTCATTCAATAGATTATGCATAGCAGCTTCAACTTTTCAAGTATTGAAAATGCATATTGTTTATCACTAGACCAAATTTTGATGACAAATAAAATTTGACATGTAGAGAGATTCTTTGCGTCCATTGGTAATATTTTAATGATTTTAATAATAAAAGATTTGATGCATCTAATATTTTAGTGAAACAGTGCAAAAAATGGAAAAGATGCTCCATTATAAATCGAAGTTTCTAACTATGAGGCGAACCAGTACATTCACTAATCAACCTACTTTCAAATTTCAAAAGTTCTAATAGCAAATATCACATGCTAGTAGCTTAAATAGCATAAAAGTAAGTAGTTATCGAGAAAAGTTTGCATAAGATGTCATGAAATACCAGATTATGAAATTTCTTTTGAACTAGTTAGCTTAAAGACTGCCTGTAGCTTGTTTATATGCAAATGTCTCCTTGAACAAAGTGAAAATTGTCACTTTTGCAGAAACTTTGTTGACAAGATCCAACCATTTGAAACAAATATAACATAGATAGAAAGGAGTATATACTTACCCAAAAAACATCACAACAACTGGAATTCCGTACCAAGGACCAATAGCATCAGCATAATAAGCTGCAAGGCAATAACAAACCAATGAAGTCCCTATGAAATGATACTATGCAATATAAGCTCGAAGACAATGAATAATGGTAGCTATAGTTCTTATAAGGAAATGTTTGCATATAAAACATATGTTTCCTTCTTTTAATTTTGACACTAATCTATACTTGTGCCTAATAACATTACAACTACATATTCCAAGAACACCACATAATCGTCAAAGCTTACCATATTCATTTAGGTAGTCCATCACCAAATATGAAAAAAATGGTAGGAAAGAACTACTTATTCAAGATAAACTCTAGAATTTGGACAATGA